ATAAAAAATATCTTATCTATTATTTTATGTGCATGAGTGTTTTGCCTGCATTGTATGTAAGTGCACCTGTGTCATGCAATACCCGTGGAGGTCAGAAGAGGGCGTTGGAGACCCTGGAAGTGGAGTTACAAACAGTTGTTAGCCAACATGTGGGTGCTGGGAACCAAACCTGGTCCTTTGCTAGAGCAGCAAGTGTTCTTAACTGCTGAGTCATCTTTCTAGCCCCATAATAGTAAGCTTTTAACCTAAATAATCCATTCATTTCATCCTGTATGTACCATAAATCAACTTTAAAGGTTAGCATGAGTGTTTATAAAAGAACTTCCAAATAAAATAAATCAACTTGCTGAGTTTACAATAAAATTCTGGACTCATCCATCCTGTGCCTCTTCACTGAAAAAAGCCAGGTCCTATATGCTAGAATGTGGATAACGTCTTCAAAACTGTTTTTCAAAGGTAAATAAAGATCAACACACGTGCCTGCTCATACATACTCGAGTGTACACACACACACACACACACACACACACACACACACACACACACTGCATAGAAATTAAACCCCAGAAACACCACCTACCCAAAGCTGTAATGTTTTGTTACTTCCGATGAGATTTATACTGTGAGGTAGGCATACCATCCAGACCCAAATGTGGCCAGAGTGATACTGTACTAAGCACTACTTTCTGTCAGTTGAGGGGAGTTTGTATGACAGAAGAATTTCCCTTTTCCATGGACATAGTCCAGATACTTGGCTTAGACCGGCTAAGACTTTCTGACCTACTGCCAGAAGCTTCAATTAGATAACTTCTCACTATCCATTGTCAGTCTTGTCTTGAGAGAAATCGAGAACATTATTGCATCTCTCACAGTAGTTCCTGTTAACTTTGATGCAGGCTGCCCTACACACCCCATAAACAATTTTTCCCTCTCATTTGATCCCTGTTGTCAACAAAGCTCAGAGGTGAAGAAAGAAACCTATAGAAACCAAAGATTATAGCAGTCCCCGGCCCTGAACTTACAACATCTTCCCTCTGCGTGTGAAACAGACTGCACCATGGCCTGCAGGCTCGTACTCTGACTGGAGCCTGTCTCCACAACTCCACTGCAGACAGGAATCTTTCCATGTTGTACCTCACCTGCCGCACTAGCCCCTGTGTCCCCAGAACAAGTCGTGCCTTGTGAGTCCCAAGCTTTTGTTCTGTGGACTCTCTTCATAAAATTCTCAGTAGGTCTCGACCTGGCTCATTTGCCTCATCACGTAGGGCTCACTCCTAATGTTACCTCTCAGGGGTCTTTACCCCAGTCCCTCACCTAACACATAGCTAATTTTCTCCATAGCATTTATTACCATCTGAAATTATTTATTGACTTACTGGATTTTTTATGACTCTTTCCCTACTACTTTTCAAACTCCATAAAAACAAGAGCTTTGCCTCACTCACTTTGGTATTAGAAAGATACCTGGATACACCAGGCATTCAAAACCCCAAGCCCAAAGAAGGACTGGTGGAATGGTGATAAACATAGCTGCCTTCCAAAAATTTAAACAAAAACACACTCAATAAATTAATAGATTTATGAATGAATTCTCAGGTTCAAGGCCTACTTCTGACAGTTACTGCTGAGTAGCATGATGTAGGCTATTTAGATCATTTTATCTCCTAAACTATCTCCTAGGGTACCATGGGGATTGACTAAGACAGTGTATATATGATGTTCCCAGGACAGGAAGGTGCCTGGCAAATTGAAAGTTCTGTAAGAAGGGCCTGTCATGGCTGGCTGTCGTTACTGTGACATCATCCCTACTCTTCCCAGGTGGCCCATGCTGTTGTCTTCACTCTTGCCAAAGCAGCCATTTATTGTCTCGGTTTTTTAAAACCCCCCGCCCCAGACCTGGAGCCTGTAATTAAGTTCCTGTGCTGTTGTCATGGAAGGTTTTTCTTTTCCATAAAAGAATTCAAATTGAGAGGCCATTTGTCATGCTTCAGAGGAATGACTATAATTACCTTGGCCTTAGAGACACGTTTCACAAGCCACTAAAGCACACTGTTCAGAGGCCATGCGTGGTCAAGAGATGGAGCACACAGTATTGTTAATATGTCAGAACAAATCTTTAGTTGCCTCCAACACCTCCTCACTGCCTCACAAGCTATTTGCACCAGTTTCACAAAATACTGTTAGATGACCTGCTCTACTTTTGAATAGACTGACACTTCTTTTTTTATTTCTCTTTATTCTTTTCTGAGCTATGGTCTCTTGTATCTTGGGCTAACTTTGAACTTGATTTGTACCCAAGGATGACCTTGAACTTCCGATCCTGTATTCACCTCCCCAATGCGGGGATTACTAGCACGCATCTCCACACTAACTTCTGCAGTGTTGGAGATTGAACCCACGGCCTCATGTGTGCTAGACAAGCACTCTACCAACTGAGCTACCCCCAATCCCTTTTTTTTTTTCTTTTAAACTTGGAGTAAGTCTTAACTTAGTTCATCTTTATCACTTGGCAAGTGAGTGAAATAAAACATGTAATTTTTTGTTTTGGTCTTTTTGAGACAGGGTCTCCCTGTAGCCCCAGCTGGCCTAGAACTCACTATGTAGACCAGGCTGGCCTTGAACTCACAGAGATCTGCCTGCCTCTACCTCCCGAGTTCTGGGGCTAAAGGTGTGTACCACCAAGCCTGGCAAAACATGAAACTATTAAATTGTGACTCTCTCAAAGTTATAAAACAAGTTTAAGGCAGAAGCAGAAGTTTGTCTTTCAGACCTGGATGCATTTTCTAGCCATGCAAAAAAATGTCCAAGGGTGGGGTGCTATCAGATGTATATACACTCTCCATGTCCTGTGCTCCAGAACACAGCCTCTGTAGTGAGACTGTCTAGATTCAATACTCTGCCCTAACACTGCTAGCTGTGGGACTTCAGGCAAGGTATCTAACCTTTCTGGACCTCAGTTCTTTATAAAATGAGAACAAGAATTCTACTCAACATAAAGCATTATGACAATGGACAGGTTCATGTGTTCAAAAGCTTGGTCTGTAAAGAGAAATTAACAAATATGTTTCATGTCATTATAGCCATGTACAGCTAAAGAGAAGACATAGGGAGAGTGACCCCAAAGAAAGGTAGAATAAAA